GCCCCCTTTTTCCTTTCCTTTTTTTTTTTTTTTTGTGGCGAGAGATTTTTGCTTAGGGCGCATGTGCTCGCCAGAGAGACAAAAAGCGAGAAATCACCCCCCAGAGGGGAATAGCCATGCCAGAATCCCTTCTCCATTCTCTTCTTGGGCTTTTGGGTACTCATGCACATGTGCCCAGCGTGAAGTTTAAGCCACGGGGTCTGGGACTCGAATCATGGTCAACTACATGGGAGTCCAGTGACGTAAACATACCATCTGCTGGTCCCAACCCTTTGTCTTCTTATCCTGCTTTATTTCTCTTCGTAAGAGATCCTACTTACATATGTATTTGTTTAGGTGTGCATTTCCCCCACTAGAATATAAAGTTCATGGAAACAGCTTTCTTTGCTGTTTCTGTAGAGCTTATACAATAGTGCCTGGCATACGAGATGTTCAGAAAACATCAGTTGGATCCCAGCCACAGTGATGCACACGTAGCTCCACCATTTGGAAGGCACTGGGGACATGGCTTCAGTCCCTGGGCCAACCTGAACATGACAGATGTGGTTATGTGCACCTGTAGCTCAGGCAGGTTGGGAGGCCAGGGCAGGGCCAGCCCAACACAACAGATCTGTCAGGTGTACCTAGCTCTATTACACTCCCTTCCCCCCACCTGTCTCATGAAGGTAAGCAAAACATTAGTTAGATCCATGAATAAACATTCCAAAGCACTGATAGACATTTGATTTTTTTTTCCCCTGTTTTTTTTTTTTTTTTTTCCATAGGGCACTTGTGCTTGCTGGAGATAGAAAATAAGAAATCACGCCCTGGGGGGATGGCCATGTCACAATCCATTCTCCTCCATTCTATTTGGATTTGGGGCACACTCAGGCACCTGGCATGATTTTCCAGACACCAGATCTGGGACTCAAACCGTGGTCAGCCTTCTGGGAATCCAGCGTCTTAACCACCATGCCACCTGCTGGTGCCAGCAATGTGACTTTAATGCACTGAAACTTTACTGTGGCAACTTCAAGGCACAGGCTTTATTTTTGTCTGATGTTTCTCATAGTCCCCCCCCCCACCAACATCACATTTAAAAACTTTAGAAAACATCCATCTTGTCTAAAGTTTAGCGCCCCCAAGGACAGGGACCTTGCCTGTCATCCATGCATCCCAAGAACCTAGCCCAGCACTGGGTGTGAGCAGGTATTCAGAAATGCGTTGGGGAGGCTACTGTGGAGAATGGCAAGAATGATTTCTTCTCCCCTCAAGGCTATCAGCAGGTGGAATGAAAGACACCTCCCACCCTGACCCCTTGGGCAACCAAAGCGTTGTATTCCTTCACTGCCTGCTGTGTCTGGAGGACCCGCACATCAATGCCTTGTTTCTCGAGGTACTCCACAGTTGATGGAGGAACCTGGGAATAAGTAAAAGAGATGGGTAAGTAGGGAAGGCCTCCAGGGCTTCCCTCTGGCTGTGGGCAAGGGTGCTGTCCAGAATTAGTGACAACGGCCATTCCTCACTTAGCCCCGCATGTCACCAGTCCAGAAGTTGACGGTGAGCCTTAATGAGTCACATAGGCCTCTGAGAAGTTGACAGAGGTAGCATAATACCAACGTATGAGGCTCTAGTGAAGCAGGAACAGAAAGAGCATGGCCTTTGGACGTAAGTCCCGACTGGCAGTGAAAACTTGGTTATGTGAATTAAATTCCTGGAGCCTTTGTTTCCATGTCTGTATGTTAGGGATAATAACACCTAGCTCACAGGTTGGTTTAGAACTAACTGAACTGAGGTCTGTAAATGTCTAGTACGGTGCAGAGCCCAAAGTACATGTGAGATGTTCGAGTTGATTCAGTCTGACTCTGTATCTGAACTGCCATGTAGTAGCCACGAGACCCTAAGCCAGCTCTTGGAAGCTTTTCAGCCCCCATCTCCTGCCTTGTGAAACAGGGACAATGATGCTTAACATCATGGGTGGTTGTGAGGGTGAAATTAACTAACATGTACACTGTAGCTCAGCTGTCTTCTCAGGACGGTCTTTCTTGACCTCACAAGTCACCATTTTTTTCACTTTTTTTAAAATCTGAGATTATCTAGTTTTTTCTTTCTTTTATTTATTTATTTTTTTATTATTATCTACCTGGTTTATCTCATTGTCCCCAGTGCCCAGAATAGTGCCTGGCCCATAAAAAATGCCTAAGAAATATTTGCAAATAAATGTACATAGAAGATAATCTCAATGGTGGCCGCTATTATTGGATAGTATTTTTTCAACTCTGGCTTGTCCTTAATATTTTAAAATAGATTTGAATTAGATTCTTCCTCCTCAAAAATAACTGAGTGAAACATGTTTCAATATGTCAAGTATCACAAGTATCACTTTCCTGTATGTTTGGAAGATTATAACAAAAGTTTACAGACAAGAATTCCTGCATTTACAAAAAATTAAAGTTTAAATTACAAAAAGATCAGAAACATAAAGAACGCCTATATCATAGAGAACATGATTGTAGGACATCTACGTAAAGGAGAGAAAGAGGACAGCTCTATATACTTAGGTGGGAGGCTGTCCGTAACATAATGTAAGTGGGGATAGAAAGTTACAGCGCAATAGTCAGTTCGATCCTGTCAAGAGGCTGTAAGCATATACATGTACACACGTGTGTATATATTTACACACACACACGGAACCGGAGTAGTATAAACTGAATGTGGAGACTGGGAAGGAGAAATTGTTCACCTTTTTCACCTTTCTATGTATACATTCATATATTAAATCTTAAATCTTTTATGGTAAGCATGAAAGTACAATTTTTTGTTGTTTGCTAGAAGGTGTGTGTGCTTGTCAGAGACACAAAGAGTGAGGGACAAAAGCACCCCCCATGGGGAATGGCCATGCCACAATCCCGTCTCCATTTCTCCCACATTTCAGGATTCTGGGCATACACATGCAATTAGTGTTTCTCTCATGCTGCTAGGTCAGGACTCAAACCGCGCAACTGGGCACGTGGGATCCAGCAGCCTGAAATAACAGGTCATGTAACTGACTCAGTAATTCTTTTTTACATAAAGGGTAAAAAAGTGTAACTTGAATGTCCAAGAAGAGAAAAAGAACAAGTACTGTCATAAAAACTGTAGGCCCAGCTGCGGTAGCGTGACTGGATGTGGTTAGTGGCAACCTAAGGCACTGGGGGCCCAGGGTTCATTCCCAGCCCACCTGCACAGGACACATGCCTACAGTTCCAACTGTTCAGGAGGACTGTGTACCGTGAGACCCTGTCTAAAAACACCACACATACTGGTGATTGCAGAACTAGAGAAATGCTGGGGCTTAGGTTTTTCTAAGAAATACCAGATGGAATGATAGTCTCAGGGTCTCCGGTCTCAGACTGGAAAGCCCTGCCCCCTGGCAGAGTGGTATATGTAGCCATTACTCTGTCCTGGCTCAGCAAAATGATGCATGATATAGAGGAACCCACCCATAGATGAAATCGTGAGGATGTTATTATTTGCAAGGTAAAGAACCACGAGATCACCACCTGTTCTCAGGAATGCTATGTGCACAGTAACACCGATACCTACCTTCAGGGCCTCACTCATGCCTCGGCCAATCACGAGGGTCCGAACGCCCTTCTCCACGACTTCCTTCACGTCTGCGGGCTGCACACCAGGGGAATGCTGGATGTGGCAAGAGAAAGACAGGCACCTGTGCTCACTCTTTCTTTGCAAGTGGCATTCTTGTGGGTTTCATTCAGTACTGGTTACAGTTTGCTCTGTGTCAAGCATCGTTCTGGGCCCTGGGAATAATAGGGAGGATAGATAGACTGCCGCCCTTAGGGAGCTCAAGGTCTAGTGAAAAATACAGGAGACTATAAAGAGTCAATTGTGTTACACATGCTACAAGGAAATAAGTTCAAGGTATTTTGAGAGCATAGGGAGAGGACTCCTAAATTCAGACCTGGGAGGCTGGGCCAAGTGGCCAGGGATGGTGTCCCAGAGGAGGTGAAGTCTAAGCTGACAGCTGTAGGCAAGTAGGAATTCACCCAGTTAAAGGAAGTCAGGGAAACAAGGCATTCCACATACAGAACAGCATGCACAGAAGCTTAGAGGAAAGAACCTGCCTGTACTCTAAAAAGTCTTCCAGGCATACTTGAGATGCTTAACAAAGATGAACTAAGCATTATAAAACGGTGGCTTCTGATCTGCCTCTATGTCAGCAAAAGAGATGTAGGAGTTAAGAGTTAGTTAAGTAAACACCAGCCCAACAAACTGGGCCTCAGGTGTTCTGCACCTCCACCAGGAAGATGCCCTTGGCATTCAAGTGCAGAGACACAGAGCTTCCCTTCCCGGTCCCATGTACCTGTATCCTGAGCACTTACTCTGTGCCAAGCCCCGCCCCAACACCAGAAATAACCAGATGAACTGATGAATATTCCCTAGAGGAGTTCTACTCAGGTAAGGTTAGTAAATGTGCAGATAGTTACAATAGGATAAGATCAAACAGAGCTGAGGATGTCAGAGGAGGGAGAGAGTTAATAGGAGTGGAAGTTGTTACGGAAGATATGCTGTTTTAACTGGGTCTTGAGTACAGGGAGGAGTGCACCTTGATGCCGTGTAGAAGGGGTACATTCTATATAGAGACAGTA